GTATGTAGTTGCTTCTGAACTTTCTCCTTGTCTTTTATCCTCTGAAATCCCTCCCTTTAACTTCCTCCCTGTACCTGGTCTTTGTTCTTCATGTCCGCTGTATTACCCTTTCTTCCCCCCCCCTCTGCCTCCCCCCTCTCAGCTGGGCTTCTGCAACCCTCTTTGTAACCCCCGATCTCTCGGTCAAGCCTTCTGTAACTCTCCATGTACCCTCCACCTTATCATTTGGACTGCTGTAACCTCCCTCTGTATACCCCCCCCCCCCACACCACCCCCTCATTCGGACCTCTATACTCCCACCTTCCTTACCGGACGTCTGAGATCCCCTCTGTACCTCCCCACCTTCTCACTCGGGCTTCTGTACTCCCCCCCCCCCCCCCGCCTTCTCTACCTTACTGCTGTAATCTCCCTCTGCCCCTCCCCGTCTCATTCGGACCTCTGTACTCTCCTCTGTACTCCAACCCTCCTTGCCGGAAGTCTGAGATCCCCTCTGTACCTCCCCACTTTCAAACTCGGACTTCTGTAAGCCCCCTCTGGACCCCACTTTCCCCACCGGACTTCTGTAAGCCCCCTCTGGACCCCACAACCCCCACCGGACTTCTGTAAGCCCCCTCTGGACCCCACTCTCCCCACCGGACTTCTGCAAGCCCCCTCTGCCCCCTCTCCCTTCTTCCCTAACCCGTAGCAGTAGTCCTTACAACTTGCGCCTTCAGCAGCAACAGCGGGGGGGCAGGTGCGTACAAGGCATAAACTCCAGGGAAGAATGTAGACAGTTTATTACGGCTGTGGTTTTGCCCGTGATGTGGGGCGTTTGTTTAATTGGCGGAGAAGGCGGGAGGGGGTGAGGGAGAGGAGGGAGTGGGAAGAGGGAGAGAGGAAGAGGGTAGGAGGGAGAGAGGGAGAGGGAGGAGTGGGAAGGGGAAGGAGGGAGGAGAGGAAGGAGGAGGAGAGAGGGAGAGGAAGGAAGAGAGGAGGAGGGAGGGAGAGGGAAAGGAGGGAGAGGGGAGGAGGGAAGAGGGAGAGGAAGGGAAGAGGTAGGAGGAGAGGGAGGGAGGGGGAAGGAGGGAGAGAGGGAGAGGGAGGAATGTAGAGGAGAGGGAGGGAGGGGAAGGAGGAGAGAGGGAGAGGGAAGGGAAGAGGGTAGGACAGGGAGGGAGAGGGAGGGGAGGAAGGGAAGAGAAGGGAGAGGGAGAGGGAGAGAGGAGAGGGAGAGGGAGAGGTAGGAGTGAGAGGAAGGAAGAGGGTAAGGGAGAGGGGAGGGTGAGGGCGAGGAAGGAGAGAGAGGAAGAAGGAAAGGGAGGAGAGTGATAAGAGGAGAGGAGAAGAAGGGAAAGAAGAGGGAGGAAGGAAATAGAAAATAAAAGGAGGAGGGATTGGAAAGAAAAGGAGAGAGGAAGTGAAGGAAGAGGAGAAATTAAAGTAAATAAAAGACAGGATAAGAGGGGAAGGAACAAGCGAAGGGAGGAAAAGGACCGAAAATCATAATTGAATAAAGGAGGGGATTAAAAAACACAAAATTATATCATGAAAAAGAGTCAGAAAGGGAGAAAGAAAGGTACGGGATTTACATTAGGCTTCCAGAACACCTTACCCATTGGAAATTGCAACGTCCATGCATGTGTGAGTGTATGTAAGTGGATGATGAATGCTGTCTACTACTCCTTAATGACTACCGAGGTGCCAGCAAACCCTCGAGAGTACCACCATCGCCTCCGAGTGTCATGACATCGCATTTCCCAAAATCTCATGAAAATGCAATTTTAACCCTTCTTTCTAATCCCAACAGTGTGTGTTCCTGCGTGCCCCCCCGCCCCCTTCCATGACCCTCTCCCCACTACTCCTTGACCCCCCCCATCCCAGGTCACCCTCGCATGGTGTAAAGCACAAAAACCTTACTATTTCAGGTCAATGCTGGTCGACTCAGCTGTCAGGTAACAATGGTCGGCCTCGTCTACGTCATCCAAGGGTCACTATGTTAATTATTATAATTTTTTTTCTCTAACGTCTGTAGCACCTTCGCCACACGCACATTAAACTTTCTTTTAAATCTTGTAAATCTTTTCTCTCTTCTTTTTTTTCTTCCGTATTTCTGTCTGTCTTCTGACCCCTTGGAGGTTTTTTAAAAATTCGTTACGTTATTAAATGTTTTTATTTCTCTGTTAACTGCTTTTTTCAAGGATGTTTATTATGCTCGTTGGATTCGGAATGTTTTAATCAGAATATTTAAAGTTCTCTTTTATATATATATATATATATTTTGCTTCTATTTTATGCACGCCTTTCCGAAAATCCCTTCAGATTTATTCATGTGAAAAACACTTGAATTGTTAGTAATTACAGGAATACAGATGCTATAATCAGACTCCTTTGATATACCAAATCCCCCCTCTACCCCCCCTTATCCCTACCCTAGCCCCAAAAGCCCCCACCCCTCCCTAGCCCAAAAGCCCCCCACCCCCTCCCTAACCCCAAGAGCACCCCCACCCCTTCCGTAGCCCCAAAAAGCCCCCCACCCCCTCCCTCCCCCCCAAATCTACCCCCTCACCCCCAGTACCCCAAAGACCCCCACCCCTCCCTAGCCCCAAAAGCCCCCCACCCCCTCCCAACCCCAAATCTACCCCCCCACCCCCAGTACCCCTACCTTATTTCGCCCAACGCTCTCTCCTTCACGCTTGTTGAGGGAATTACCCCGCGTGTAATTTATGCAGGGCAGCGAGTTGTTGCCCCCTACTTCTTACAAGATGCCCCCCCCCCCCCCCCACCCACCTCTCTCTCTCTCTCTCTCTCTCTCTCTCTCTCTCTCTCTCTCTCTCTCTCTCTCTCTCTCTCTCTCTCTCTCTCTCTCTCTCTCTCTCTCTCTCTCTCTCTCTCTCTCTCTCTCCCTCCCTCCCTATTCTCCCTACATTTGCGCTCCCCACCCCCTCTTTATTCTCTTTTCCTCACTCCTCTCTTTTCTTATTTTCCTCGTCCCATTCTTTTCTCTCTCTATTTGCCTCCTCCTCTCTCCCTTCTCCTTTCATTTTCCTCAGCCCTCTCTTTTTCTCCTTCCATTTTCCTCTCCCATCTCTCTTCTCCCACCATTTGCCTTTCCCCTATCTCTTCTCCCTCTATTTGCCTCTCCCCTCTCTTTCTTTTCCTTCCATTTTCCTCTCCCGTCTCTTTCTTTTCCTTCCATTTTCCTCACCCCCTCTCTTTCTCCTTCTATTTGCCTCCCCCACATCCCCATCCTCGAACCACAATTCACTTTGAGATACAGCTGTTTCTTTAAAAATATCCTACCCCCTTATTTGTTGTGAGGCTTCCCCCTCCCTTTCCTATATTCCATGGGAGATATGTGTCTCTCTCTCCCTTTGCCTCTTACCCTCTTCCTCCCTTATACAGCTCCTCTAACCCCATTTTCTTTCCCCTACTCCTCTTTCTTCCTCATATCCCCCTCTCTCTCCCTTCCCACCTTTCTCCTCTACCCCTACCTTAACCCAACCCTCTTTCCCCCCCTCCCCTCCCTCCCTTCCTTCCAGACCTTCCTACCCTCATGCCCTCTCCCTTTTCCCCTCCCTCCCCCTCCCCCTGCAATGTGGCTGACGTTAATGATCATCATAACAGTCTCTATTGCAACTACCCTCAGTGCTCCGTTTTCTTTCCGCCAAGGTGGTCTCGCTCTCTTTTGTATCGGGGTAACTCCTCCATTTATGTATTTCTGTTTTTTTCTTCCTCTCTTTCTGTTTTTTTTTCTGTTTTTTTCTTTGTCTTATTTCTTCGTTTTTTTTCTTTCTTTTTACTCCTTTCTGTTTCGTTTCTTTAAAAAAAAAAGATTCCTTCGCTATTATATCTCTTTTTACTTTCTTCTATCTTTACTTTACTTGTCCGTGTTTTTCTCTTCGTTTCTTTCTTTATTCACCTGTTCATACGTTCTTCGTTAATTTCTTTATTGTCTTGACCTTTTTATTATCTCTCCTATTATCTTTATTTCTTTTGAGCACTACAGCAGCTATGTTATTATAGTGTAGTTTTCTATATTATTGTATCATAATCCCTCTCTGAATGATTAAGCTTTATTATTTTGATTTAAAAACTTTTTTGCCTAGACTTTTAGATATATTTTTTATTTTCAATTTAAATGCACCGCGAAATTGCACTGTACGCTGCTGTTCTGCTTTTGAAGAATAGAAAAAAAACATATTAATTATTTTCAGGTTTCCATGGCAACATAAAATTGTTTACAGACAGACGCTGGCTGAAGGAAGGGGAACATTTAATCCATAATCTGTTAAATCCTGGTTTATGATTAACATGGTTTTAACATTACACGTAAAGCTGTAGATTTTGAGATCTCAGCAAGGTTTTATAATCTTAGGTCGTAATAATATGTAGCTTTGATTGACCTTTTCTCGCATTTTCTCAATTGAAGAGGAGTGTTTAATCCAATAATGATAGAGAGAAAGTGAATTGTTTAATAATTTTGGTGGAATGATTTAATAACGGATCACTAAATTTACATTTTTGTTTTTAATTGTGTAAGATAATTATACAAGTATATTTCGTATTTTTTCAGTAATATGATTAACATTTTAATATCTTCCAAAAGTCTGTCTTTTTAACGAGACATCTTTAACCAAACATTAATGTCGTGTTTACTAAAAATGTATATTGATAGTTTTTTCGTAGTTTACTTTGAATTTTTTGAGAAAATCCCATTTTTATTACATATTTGATATTTACGTAGAATTGAACAAATAACAAATTCTTAATTTTTTCACAAGCGCAACCACATATTTTTGGTTCGCTTAGCTTTCATTTTATTTTCATTTCTGAATGCATAACCAAAAAGTAGAGCATGGACCCCCCCCCCTCCCCCTCCCTTCCATCCCCAGGAAGAAAAAAAAAACATAAACATCAATCTTATTTCCGAAAAAAATCGAGTCACTCATACACCTTGAATTCCCCCATAAAAAAAAAATCCCACGACCGCAACTGACCTCGTTTCCCCCTCCACGCCCCAGGTCAGATCCACTCCCAGAGCCTCAGCACCAGGAACGACTACCAGATGACCTGGGAGGGACCTGCGAGCGACGACGACCAGTACCTGGGATACTCCGTGGCCGTCGGGGACTTCACGGGGGACGGGCAGGAGGACGTGGCTCTCGGAGTGCCAAAGGGCCTCAACTACACAGGAAAGGTAAAGGGGAAAAGGACGATAAAGAGAGAAGGAGAGTTGAGACGTGTATAGGTAGGGAGGTTGGTGGATAGATTGATAGATAGGTAAGTAGATAGACTGATAGATAAGTAAGTAGATAGGTAAGTAAATAGATTGATAGATAGGTAAGTAGATAGACAAGTAGATATATTGGTATGTATATAGATAGATGGATGGATAGGCAAAATATAACAAGAAATAGTAAGACCAATCAAACTGGAAGAGTAAGGCAAATAGATAGAGAAAAGACATTAAGTAAGAGTCATAGACACAGCGTTCTGCAATGAGTTCAAGGTAAGAAGGGGCGCCCGTGTGTTGCGCTCCGAGTCAGGTTAAAACAGCTGGGTTGAAAGGAAGAGGGCGGAGCGAAGGGGGACGGGACAGGGAGGTGGGGTGGGGACTAGAAGGATTGTGAATCATGTGTTTGTGTGTGTGTGTGTGTGTGTGTGTGTGTGTGTGTGTGTGTGTGTGTGTGTGTGTGTGTGTGTGTGTGTGTGTGTGTGTGTGTGTGTGTGTGTGTGTGTGTGTGTGTGTGTGTGTGTGTGTGTGTGTGTGTGTGTGTGTGTGAAGTCTGTCTGTCTGTGTGTGTGAAAGAAAAAGAACGAGAACGAGAGAGAAAGAGAGAGAGAGAGGAGGGAGGGGAATTAAAACTACGATAGGCAAAGGAGAGATAGGTAGCACCAGAGAACGGTATGGGGGAAAGAGTCAGGCTCTCGAAACACAAAAGTAAGTTGACTGCCTTGCTCTGCTGTCTTTTAGTTACGTAAATCATTATTGTTATATTTTTTAGTTTATTATTTTAGCGTAATTCCATGCATGTTCTGTTTATCAGTTTATTCTAGATGTTAATTACAATTGCTGTTTAATCCCGTGTGCATGATTAATGGAATCCATTTGTTTTATATCCCTAATGGATGTTGTTTAATAGGCATGCTTAATATTTGGCTTTGTGCTAAATGCTGCATCGTCTGTTGCCTCTGTTTACCCTTCATCACTTATTTGGCTTGATTTCCGCTGTTTATGTGACGTGTTTGAGGCTGTGTTTGACTTTTATTTCTATTCTTATTTTTCTTTCTATTTTGTTTTGGCGGAGATGGAAATTGGATTGGTTATGATTAGTTGAATATATCGAAGTCCTGGAGAATAACGTTGCTGAACAAGCAGTTGTCGTTATCAGCTTGTTTATTGTCATTTGATTATTCTTGTCTATCAATTTGTCGTTAATTATCACCAGATATGCATCTTCGCCTAGATGAAAAAAAGGAAAAAAGAAAAATCAAGAATATGTATTTAGTTTTTTTTTCTTATCATTCACCTCTCTTACATTACAAGCTATTTCTTAATATTATTCGAAATAAGCTTATTTTACATTTGATAGATGACGATCATGCTCGTATGTTTTGATTTTTTTTTGTTGGTAGAATAAAGACAATTGTTTTGCATTTCGTTCTATGAATAACTATGTAATTTAAAAATGTAGATTGTACAATGTATATGACATGTATCACATATATCAGATAAATAATTAAAAAGTTTACCTGCATACTTCACAACTAAAAAAAAAAAAAAAAAAAAAAAAAAAAAAAATATATATATATATATATATAATTTACCCGTTTAATCGAATATTCGTAGACCGTTTAAGTCCAAAAGAACAAGTAAAAAATACGTAAATAAACAGATAAATTTCGGGATCGACAGCTTCTCCCACGATAGAGACCGGCTCATTTTATCTCATGTTGCGAAACTGATGTCTGCTTATCTCTGCTGCACCTCATACCACATCGCGTCTTATCATGCCTTATTATTTTTTATTTTTTTTTTTTTTTTTTTTTTGGGGGGGGCGCATTCTCCTCATCCTCTCCTCATATCTCCTCACTGCTGGTCTGTTGTTGGTTGTCATTGTCACCCCCTGCTGCCTGCTCCTGCTCCTGCTCGTGACCTGCTGGCCTGTGTGCTCGTTTAGTGCTGCTGTTGCTTCCTGGTATGTCTGCTGATGAACTGCCGCTGGGATTGCTTCCTCGGCTCCCCTCTTGCCCTTCCTTCACGGGATGGAAAGGACATATATTTACGCACACCTGCATACGCACACATATACACACACCAATACAACACACATATCCAAGACAGACATTTTTATGCATATGCGCGTACATATGCACGTACGCATGCACAGACACATATGCACACATGCAAAAACAAGTACAAACACACACACATATATATATAATATATATATATATATATATATATATATATATATATATATATTTATTATACATATACATAAATATACACTTACACATAGAGAGTACATATGCTTATACATATACATAAACATACAATATCACATAGAGAGTACATATGCCTTTATATTTATATTTTTATATATCAATACATATATGTGTTTACATATACAAATAATATACATATACATTAACAATATATTTATGTATGTATATATATGTATATATATATATATATATGTATACATATATTGTATTATATATATATGTATGTATATGTATATATATGTATATATATATATGTATATATGTATATTTATATATATGTATATGTATATATGTATGTATATTTATGTGTGTATATATGTGAATATATATATTTATATATATATGGCTATATAAATTTATAGATATATAAACACACACACACACACACACACACACACACACACACACACACACACACACACACACACACACACACACACACACACACACACACACAGGCGAGAAGGGAGAAGGGGAGCAAAACACAGCAACCAAACAACCGTCATATTCTTGGGTACAATCTTATCCAGAAGGGTGACGATTTGAGCCTTAAACTCACATAAAATGACCCTTATTGCACAAAAGACGTTAACAAGGAAACTGGCTTATGTAGGAACTCCAAAGCATGAATCACAAGCACCGAAAAAAGTATATCAAGACTGCAAGCATGTTGTATATATATATATATATGTAGAGAGACGATTACAAGAGACAATTCCAGACAAAGACCATTACAGATAACGACCGTCAGTAATTGCACGTACATGTCACCTGTCAATAAAGCCAAAGTAATTGATGTACATCTATTAATCGCATCATAAAGTATCGGTGTTGCATCAAAGAGCATTTGATTCTATATCGGTGTAACGTTGTTGTCGGAATGCGGAATGAACCGTCAGATTATTGGCTCATTTGGAGGAATAAATTGGTGTCGTAATTGGTGATTTGTCATTAAGTCTGTTCAGTGATTTCGACTCGCTCTAAATTGCGATGTGATGATCAGTTTTTGGTGTGGACTCGGGAGGATTTGAGGGTGGGATTTCCCTTCCTGACCGAGTCCGCCCAGGATTGAAAGGGTTAGATGTAACACAATTTCTACATGTTTTCTTTCCCAGTAAGATGCTTATAGCACTAAATTGTAGTTGTTCGGAAGACGAGAAAAATCATAAGGGTTTTTATGTGTTTTTATTGAATTTGTGAACAATAACATTTCTATCATAAAGTGAAGAGTCAGCAGATACTCCAGGGCAGCAGCAGCAGGTGAGCTCGTCAGCCGCGAAGCCGCGCGCGCCGCCATTTCCTTACCTGACGCTGCAGTCCCTTCAGGCACAGGAGCCCAAGAAGGCGCAGCAGGGCCAGCAGAGAGTTCCCCTCTGGAAGTACCTTGGGCAGCGTCCGCCCGCCACGGCCGAAGGGCCTCAGACGTGGCAGGAGTGGTTCGAACAGACGGGCTTCCTGTTCCGGCCCAGCGGCCAGGAAGGATACTCCCGAACCTACGTGTGGAACATGACCAGGGCGTCCCTCAGCCGCCCCTCGTACGGCTCCTACAGCGTTGGCCTGGGCGAGTTTGACGGTGTCCCAGGGGAGGACGTGGTAGTGGGCGTGCCCCGCGGGCCCAATCCGGCGGGCGTCCTCACGGGTCAG